ACACACACACACACACACACACACACACACACACACACACACACACACACACACCACATTCATACCTCAATTTCTGTTCTGCACTGGTATATATTACCAGTCTTATCAGTGCTCAGATCAACTAGTGGCCAGCCAGGTTAATCACAAGTAGGAGCCAGGCTCCTGCCGGTCCATCTTGTCAGACGAACCAATGCTCCAAGATGACATGCAGAACAAGAGCCAAAATTGGTATGTCTTGCCCCATCTTTTGTAGCCTTGTCAATTCACCCAGTCCTCTGGGCTTTTGCTGGATTATCACTGTGTTCTTCCTTGAAGGTTGATTGTCATTGTTCTCTCACTGTGTTGGGGCAGATTCTTCTTGTTTTGGTCTTTTATCTGTCTGCTTTCTTCAGCCAGTCGCTAGCTGCCAGCTGATGTTTTCCTTTTCCACAGACACAGTCTCACCCATTCTCTCACACATACAGCATACAAAGGTTGAGCACTTATGTCAAACTACAGAGTAATACAAAATGGGGTTTTTTAAGGCAATGCAAAACTCAAGAAAATACATAAGATTAAAAGCAATAGGCAAAAAATCTATTTGTATAACACTTGGTTACCCCCACAGTCATCCAGATTACTTATGCCTCTTTACCATTGCCTGTTCATGATCTAATCTCCAAGTGATCATGAACCCCTTTGCCACGGTTGTGTATGGCTTTGAGCTTTCTGTCAACATCAAGAAACAGTTCTTTATTAACCAATTCCTGGTGATGCCTATTGCAATCCTGCTATTTTTACTGATTGTGCCCTTTTTAAATGCAGACAGTCTCCATATTCAGGGAGTATTATTATGGATGACAACTCTATGGATACAGGTTACTTTTATATGCAGCTGACATTTTTACCATTTACAAACATCACATATGGAATCTTAAACCTATACGACAGCGAATGCTCAACAAATCTTACAGTGGGCCATGAGCTGAGTATCAGCCAATGATGTCCTCTTTGTAAAAAGACCCAAGAGCATATTGGATTTTGTCAACAGAAGGGTTGCTTGCAATTCAAGGGAAGTGATTCTTCTTCTCTGTTCAGTACTGGTGGGACCTCACTTGGAGTATTTTATCCAGTTTTGGGCCTCATGCTTCAAGCAGGATGTGGACAAATTGGAAAGAGTCCAACACATAGGTGACAAAAATGATCAGGAGCCTGGGAGCAAGACTGATGAGGAAAGGCTCAAAGAACTAAGGTTATTTCTTCTGACGAAGAGGATACTGAAGGAGGGGATTTGATAACAGTCTTCAAATACATGAAGGGTGATAACAGAGAGCACGGAGATGGGCTGTTTTCTGTGGCCATAGAGGACAGGACTGGCAGCAATGGCCTCAAGCTGCAGCAGAGGAAATTTAGGTTGGAGATTAGGAGGAACTTTCCAACTTTGAGGGTGGTCAAGCATTGGAACAAGCCGCCTAGAGAGATTGTGGCATCTCCATCCCTGGAAATTTCAGAGAACAGACAGACATTTGGCCGGGCTGGTTTAGTCAGGGATGATTCTGCCTTGAGCAGGGGACTGGACTAGATGACCTTGTGAGGTCCATTCCATCCTTAATTTCCTATGATCCTATGCTGAGTGTGAGCAAACATAAACAAGTGACTGGTCACCTGAGAAGATTGTGGCAAAGCAAAGAACTGAATATGGCTCACTTGAGCCCCATCCCTTCCTTATCTTGATGCTCTCTGTTGTTCATTAATTTAATACATTTTCTAGCATTGTTCCCAAGGCTAGACCATCACTAAACAGCAAACTTCCAATACTATTGACATGTGAAGCTTCAACAGTCTTATTTTGGGGCCAACCCCAAGCCCATTGTAATCAGTGGAAGATACCTACTGACGTTAGTATCTATCCTTTGATTTAATCCATGAAGCATAGCTAGTGTTTGGCTTGGATGTTTACATCGAGGCTCCAAGGTGGTTTCTTTCTCTTGTTTATGAAATGTAGGTATCCATGTGCTCATCAGTGGTAGAGATTTATCAGTGTCCCCATTTCATGAACCCATTAGTCCTTAACTCACGTGTTCATAACCCTACCTCCTGCCATCTTTATGGGCCTTGTGATCTCCTCCCCAGATTGCTGTTGCTCAGTACAGTGAAGGGCCCCGGACTGCGTTCCATTTTAACCAGTACAAGGATAGGAATGGAGTCCTGAAAGCCATCCAGGGACTGAGCTATGCTGGAGGCAACACAAAGACTGGTGGGTATCATGTATGCACATCAATATCTGCATGTACATGTTATATCTGAGGCATGGCCCCGAGTTGCAAAGTGCTGATCTGAAGTTGGATATAAATTGCCTTAGGGTTCAGGTGATGCATTTTGTTTTAGAGTTGTGAATCAGTCTGTTGTAGAGTTGGGTTATGAAATGAAGATCCAAAATGCTGTGAAGCTGAAGAGAGGACTCGAGGTGTGTGTTTTCACCTCTAGTTATGGCCAGTACTGTTATTCTGGTTCTTTTAGAAGAGCCCCAGATTTATTTCTGAATTTATCTTTATTATCTTATGACCCCCAATTGTGTATGTTTACACCTAACATAGAGCCCTAAACCTAAAGTTATTACCTGCTGGGAATTTTTTAAAAAGTGCTTTACCTCTGTCTTTGATCCTAACCCTATCAGTCATGTGAGCAAGAATTCATGTTTCAGCACTAGATTGTATCTGCCTTGATTTATTTAGACCACGGGGTCAGTTTCCCTTTTTGGTGCATATCTGTGACACCCATTAGTGTTGGTTGCGTCTTCACCTTAGCATTGACTTGCTAAAATCAATGAGAGATGTTACCATCAGGTTCAAAGGGGAGAGAGTTAGAGCAATGAAGAGTACTTTAGAAAATTCCTCCCACTGAGTGCATCTACACGAGATGCTAACTGCGTACTAGCATGGCAGGAAAAAAACATACTAATAGGCTACTATGCAGTTAGTGCCCAAACAACCCATGCACCAGCACTACTGAGCAGTAGTGTAAGCTATTGTGCATTGATTTAGTACTTAAGTACTAAGCTTAATGCACAATAAGTATGGTGCATTAATGAACATGTAGATGCACACACTGTGGATCAAATTATCTACCCCTCCTGCATCATAGTTGGGAGGATAAGGGCTGGAAAATGAACTTTTGCTTTAAATATTCCATGTGTTTAAAAAAGTAATCTCCAGCCGTTCTAGGTGCATGGATACACAGTATCTCTAATGCCAGGTGCATTAGACAGGGTTTGGCCGTTTAGCTAGAGAGTAGGAACAAGATGATAGATGTAATGTAGTTCCATATTACAAGAACTCATCAACTCATCCCATAGTTTTAAACTGAAGGGAATTAGCCTTCTTTCTATCCTTTCTTAAGCTGCCTCTCTAAGTGTCTACCCTTTCCTAAGGTGGATCTTTTTTTGGTTACCAGTGCTGTGCACATAATCAATTTTTCAAGGTCATTGACTCAACTGAAATAACCAAAAAAATTCCACAAAAAAACTCCCTTTGGGGTGCTGCAAAATGAGAAGTTTTCAGTTTTCTTACTAACAACCAAAACGTCATCTTGATTTGATATTTTCCATTTTTCCTGGGTGTTGGTTGTAGCTGTGTTGGTCTAAGGCAGGGGTGGGCAATTATTTTAGGCAGAGGGCCACTTACTGAGTTTTGGCAAGCCATTGGGGTCCGCATGACAGGCAGCCAGGGGCAGATAAATATTAATTTTCTAAATTGTTTAGGGGCCCTGCGGGCCAGATAGAATGGCCTGGTGGGCTGCATCTGGCCTGTGGGCCACATTTTGCCCACCCCTGGTCTAAGGACATAGGCAGACAAAGTTCTTTGGATAAATGTGATATTTTTTAGATGAATTCAGTAGTTGGAAAAATTGGTCTTTGCAAGCTTTCAAGCGCAGACTTCTATTCTATTCTATTCTGTTGCTCCTATTCAGACCCTAGAGAGAAGATGCAGACCAGCAAACTCTCCTTGTGCCTGAAGAAGGGCGCCTGTGCCGGAAAGCCAGCAAAGAACAATTTTTCCAACTATTCAGTGGTCTCATAAAAGATATCACATTTATCCAAATAACCTTGTCTACCTTGATTTGAAGCACTTTTACTCAAATTAAAAAATTATTTTTGTGGGTTTTTCTTTTATTATCTCTCTAAGGTTTTTTAAAAACTGAACTCTAGCAATTCTGCAAATGAAAGCATCATTTCGAAATGAAATAAAATGAAAACTCTAAGTGTTTTGGTTCTGAAATGTCAGGACAAATCATTGTAACTTTCCTTGATTCATTTTTTCAATTTTTTTTTCTGGCGGAAATTATTCACCAAATCTGACCTGAATTTTCTATTGAATTCTACTGCATTTATCATGATTTTCCAGAAAATAAAATAATTCTTCAGCTCTGACATTTTTGATCTCCTTATATGAGTGGACTATATGCTTTCACATGGATCAATCAGTGATGCAGCGTATAAACATGACCTTGTTGGATCTGGATCAGTGATTCTCAATCGGAGTGCATGGTACCCTGGGGTGCCATGAGATCCTTTTAAAGGTGCCACGGGCACCATGCAATATTAGGTGTTCAAACAGCTACACAAGATAATTCACAAGATAAAGCCTAGAGATTTCAGACAGGACTTCATAATGTCAAAACCATTCTGTCCTGTTCTGGCCTTTCCGAGTGCTTTGCAACAGAAGAATTCTTGTACTTCTCCGCAGTCAAGTAATTTGTGAAACGTAAGAGCTGGCATTTTCCAAAGGGGCCTTGAGTCTAAAAAGAGTGAGAATCACTGATCTAGACAGTGTGTCTTTCTGCCTTCTTGCAGGTCGTGCCATGGCCTATGTGCTAAAGGAGTTATTTCATCCCTCCAGAGGGACCAGGCCAGACTTCCCTCGTACCCTGGTGTTGGTGACTGATGGACAGTCACAGGACGATGTGCTCCCAGCTGCCAGGGCAGTCCATGCTTCAGGTAGGGACCCTGTTGCACTTTTACCTTTTTAAGGCCTTGATCCCCATCCCAGGTAAGTCAGCAAAAACACCCACACAGGTTCCAGTTGGGCTTTATATTAACCCAGTCTCCTACAAGCTCAGTTTTGGTTTTCTGAGCTTTCATCTTTTCCTTATTTTGTTGAATTTGTGGGTGACCCCTAAACTAACCTTATGAGCCAAATCCTCTACGGATGTGCCCAGCCTAATATTCTTAGATGACTAATCTCTGGATGGCCTAGTCACTAAGAGATGACTTCCTGTCCCCAGTGTAAATGAGTTCCTGTGAATTAAGATAAATTCTAATCAGGAACTGAGGCACTGATATTTACTGTGTGGTTGAGATTTTCCATGTGGATGCAGGCTTTTAGCCACACTGTTCCCAGACTCACTGTAACAAGTGAAATTCCCTACTTGGTTTGCAAACTCTCAACCTGTGCTTCTTTCTAGCTAACAAATGGGGTATTTATTTCAGGAATTGGTGTCATTGCTGTGGGCATCTCCAGAGCAGACCCTGAAGAACTGAGTAGCATTCTGCTACACCGCAACCTGCATAATGTTTTCTACATCAGCACCTTCGATGACTTTCCCCAGATCATCAGGGAGCTTATAGATACCATATGCTCGGACCTGCAGCTGCCAGAAGCCCAGCCACAGCCTGGGCAGGTGAGCTGCTTTCTCCCATGCCCTTTCCATTTCTATGCTTCATTCTTTATTTACTAGGGAGAGCTTTGCAAATATGGTGAATGCAAACACTGATGCGAGGCTCCAAAACTTAATTCATTTGAAAACCTAGTGCACGCAAACATTGACGCAACGTTCCAAAATAAAAAAGTTTAAATTTTATAAGCCTATTTAATTTAATGAGGATTAAACCCTATGGTGTGCCTCTAGTGATTATGCTTTCACCCTGTGTCCTGACTGAAAGCAAGATCAAAAGAGGAGGGAGGTTTAATATCCACCACTAGAAATTATCGTGCCATTGATATCAGTGGAACACAGAGATATTGGTGGAGAACTGTGTCCACTTTTGGCCCTGTACTTCAAGAAAGATGTGTACAGATTAGAAAGAGTCCAGTGAGAGTGGCAAAAATTATTAGAGGTCTGAGAAGCGTGACTTATAAGGAAATGTTGAAAGAGCTAGGTTTATTTAGTCTGCAGAAGAAAAGACTGAGGGAGGATTTGATAACAGTTTTCAAATACCTGAAGGATCATTATAAAGAGGATGGAGCTGGGATTTTCTTTGTAGCTGTAGGGGACTAAGAGCAATGGCCTCAAGCTGCAACTGGGGAAATTTAGGTTGGAGATTAGGTTAAACCTTCTGACCATGAGGGTGGTCAAACGTTAGAACCAACTACCTAGAGAGGTCCTGGAACTTCCACCCCTGGAAATTTTCAAGAGTGGGTTAGCTAGGTATTTGGCTGGGATAGTTTATAGATTCATAGATTTATAGATGCTCAGGTCAGAAGGGACCTCAACAGATCATCAAGTCCGACGTCCTTCCCTGGGCAGGAAAGAGCGTTGGGGTCAGGTGACCCCAGCCAGATGCCTATCCAGCTTTCTCTTACAGACCCCCAAGGGAGGGAGAGCACCACCTCCCTTGGAAGTCCATTCCAAATTTTGGCTATCCTCACAGTGAAGAAGTTTTTCCTGATATCTAACCTAAATCTCCTCTCTGTCATCTTGTCACCATTATTCCTTGTTACCCCAAGAGGTGCCCTGATGAACAGAGCATCTCCAATCCCTTGCTGTGTCCCCCAATGCATTTGTAGATGGCCGCAAGATTGCCTCTTGGCCTTCTCTTGTGGAGTCTGAAGAGGTTCAGGTCCCTCAGTCTCTCGTCATAGGGCTTGTCCTGTAAGCCCCTAACCATACGAGCGGCTCTCTTCTGGACCCTCTTGAGTTTATCCACATCCTTTCTAGATGAAGTACTCCAATGCCACACAGAGGGGAAGTATCACCCCTTTGGATCTATTTGTCATG